TCCCCCACTTCCTCCTCCTCCTCCTCCTCTTCCTCCACTTCCTCCTCCTCCTCTTCCTTCTCCTCCTTCTCCTCCTCTCGCTGGAACCAGTGCTGGGCCACGTCAGAGTCCCAGACGGCTCCAGTGCTCCTGCTCCTCCCCCGTGGGCGCCCGCGTCTCGGGGTGCCCCGCCCACACGCACGGCCAGTGCTCCGCCTCGGGCGACGTGTCGCGCTTCGACAGCTCGACGTGGAGCAGAAGCCCCCGGTCCTCTCGGCTGCGCGGAACGCAGACCTCCTCGAGTCGTGAAAAAACACCACGGAAGGTGTTTCGATATTTTCGGCCTCCGGGGGCCATTACCGCGCCTCAGGACCGTCAGAGACGACTCAGCAGCGAAAAACCCGTCCTGGGGAATGGGCAAAGACATCGGGAGGTCCACGCATCGAAAGAAACCAAGACGTCGCATGTCTGGGGGAGTGAGCTCAGACAAGAGTGGCATTTGGTCCGCGGCTCTCGGGGGACGCGGGGGGGCCAACCCAGAACGCACAAGCCGCTGCTATCGTATCGCATTCAGCGATCTGGGGCCCCAAGCGTGCCCGCACCAAAGGCTACTCTGGCGAAAGTTCACTCTTACGTGTAGCCGATCCTCGAGCTGCCAACTGCAGTCGTCTGGCCGCACCGGCCTGCACAGCCTGCCCTCAAGCACCAGCGGCGCCGCCGGGTCAGCGGCCGGCATCACCACGCGCAGCGCCTGCGCCCGCAGCTCCCAGGTGATGCAAGACGCCTCTTTGGAGGCGCGCCAGCGGAGAAGGGGGGAGCGCGGGGCCGGCCCCTCGCGTCGCGACAGAAAATCTCCGAGGGCTTCTGCCTACTTTTCTGCCTCCTGGGGCCCTCGCTTTGCCCCAGGGCCACCAAAAAAGGGCTTAGACTGTCGAGATCTCTGGGGGTGGTAGAAAATCATGGCGTCGGGGGTCTGGGGTGCTGGCATTTTTTTTCCGCCTGTGAGGAAAAAGAGGGACATGAGGAGGAGGAGGAGGAGGAGGAGGAGGAGGAGGAGGAGGAGGAGAAGGAGGGACAAGAGGGAGCAGCAGGAGGAGGACGAGGACGGGTCTGGGTTGCTGGCTTCTGGGGAGGCGGGAGGCTCCTCAGAGGGGCACCGCCCCCCCTGGATGAGCCGCGCGCCCCGCACCTGCCAGGGGGCCGCACCCCTCCCCCCTCTGCAGCCTCCCAGCTCAAGGCCACCCCTCCCTGGACACCCTCCTTGAAGGGGCCCCAGGACACACAAATACACAAATAAAAGGATTCCCCACATTTTCCTATATTTTCTGGGTTTCTGCCTCCCCCCCACACTTCCCATATTTTCCTATATTTTCTGGGGAATCGAGGATTAATTGTGTCTGTGTGTGTTTTTTCCCTCCTGACTCCTGGCGGGCTGTCCGGGCTGCCCCCAGCCACGGCCACGAGAGCCACCACGGCGGGTGGACAAAAGGTGACCACGCCCACCGCGCCAAGACAACGCTACGAGGAAGTGCATCTAGAAACCGAAACCCTCTCCCACCATTCAACCCAAAGTTAGCAGTGGTGCACGCGAGGCAACGCGCGAATGACATCATGTGGACACTTCAACTTTGGGCTTGGGGGGGAGAGGGGCGGGACATACGTTATACTAGATATTATGCACCATCACGTGACAGACACTCTTTGTCCAGCAACCGCCGCAAGGCCCAAAGAGCCCTGAGATCCGACGTTGCGAAAAAGACAACATCGCGAAGAATCCTGACCAGAGTCCCGGACCCCATCCTTCTGCAGCACTTTCCTGGCCGGACCGATCTGTGATGGTCCCGAGGCCCGAAGCCGGGCGAAAGCGCCCGGCGTGAACAAATTCGCAGCGCCCGGATCTCAGGGAGGGCCACCAGCGAGGCCCGACTAGCGTTAAGTCGGGCGTGTCCCCCTACAGGGGGATTTTCGACGAAAAATGAAGAATACCCCGAAAATAACAGAAAAAATGTCCAAAGATAGTCTGGGGACTATCTTGGGAATCTGTTTTTTACCTTTTTGGGGCATTTTGGGGGGGATCTTCTGTTTTTCGTCGAAAATCCCCCTGCAGGGGGACACGCCCGACTTAAGACGAGCGGCAGAGGAAGGCAAGCCCTCCCGCCACCCGGCTCGCTCCCGCGCGCCCCGCCGGCCTGCGGCACCCGCAGCCCCCGGGCGGGCACCAGGACGTGGACGCGCTCGGCCGTCTGGCCCCACACGTAGCCGTGCGTCAGCAGGCAGTCGCCCCCGCGCTCCTGGAGGCCCCCCGAAGGGGGCCCAGGAGCGGGAGGGGGAGGAGGAGGGGGGGGAGGGGGAGGGGGAGGGGGAGGAGGAGGAGGAGGAGGAGAGAGGAGGAGGAGGAGGAGGAGGAGGAGGAGGAAACGGTGCCGATACCGCTACCTTTCCTCGGTGGGCCTCCCGCAGGGGAGCCTCCGGAGTGGGGCGTCGGATCCGCCGCACTGTGGCTGCCTAGCTGCCCCGACACGCAGCACGCAACACGTCGCGTATTGCCACGGAGCTCCACACGCAGGCTGAACACGCAGGTCCGACGCGATACGTTCGCCAAGACGTGGGCCAACACATGGAGCCAACACGCAACGTATTGATACGGACGTCTTGAACACGGCACGTGTTGCGTATCAAAACGGGCGTATCGAGGCAGCTGAGCTCCCGAGTGGGGCGTCGGATCCGCCGCACTTTGGCTGGGAATCCAACCTGTGGTCGGGGACGGATCGCCGTGGCTGCCCCAGCGGCACGACAGGCCTCGCAAGCGGAGAGAGCTGGCATGCCGCTCCGCTCCGCGGGGGGAAGGAGGCTCGGAGAGAGGCTCGCTGACGCCTGGGGCCTGGGGAGTGGCTAGCGTGTCCTCTCCGAGGCGCGGGGGCCCAGAGACGGCGGAACGACACGCCATCCAAAAGCTCGCGACCGCAAATTTGCATTGAGTCGGGCCTGTCCCCCTGCAGGGGGATGCTCGACGAAAAATCTAAAACACCCCAAAAATAATCCAAAAATAATCCAAAAATAGTTTGGGACTATTATTTGAGTATGTTTTGACCTCTTTGGGGTATGTTTGGGGTATTTTTGTTTTTCGTCGAAAATCCCCTGTAGGGTGACACGCCCGACTTACCGTAAATTTGAATCGGAAACGCGCCCCTGACGATGCGAAAGAGTAAGGCGAGAGATGCCGCCTCAGAAGCGCAAGTGGGGCGGCCACCTCCGCAGGAGTCTCGGAGACACAGCGGCGACAAAGAGCAGGGACCTGGTAGAGGGAAACAACTAGTGAACACCCCCCCTGCCCCCCAAACCTCAAGGCTGGCACGCGCGGGGGAGACTGCGGTCGAGGTGCAGCTCATCAGACCCACCGACAGCCGTGCGGAGGCCCACCCGCCCTCGTGGTGTCCCGCCTGCTCGATCGGAGGAGGAGGAGGAGAAGGAGGAGGAGGAGGAGGAGGAGGAGGAGGAGGAGGGGGAGGGGGAGGCGTTCACAGACGAATGTGGCATGAGTGCTCGCTATTTGTTCCCCGAGGCTTGTAGAAATCGGCATCATCACAAAGGAGCTCGAGAAGCGGGGAGGAGGTCCCCGCCTTCAAGGGCGGGGGGCCCGCACGACGGCGCCGCACCGGCGGCGAGGCGCGTGCGCCGCCAGCCTGGGGGAGGACTGGGCGCAAGGTCGCGCGCGGAGTCGCCGCTGCTCACAGGGCAGTTTTTAACACATAGGATTTTTTAAGACATAGGGATTGTTTAAAGACATGACTCATTTGTGAAAAAACTTGTGCATGAACTCGTCGATGTTTTTAGTACTAAATCCCTGCATCGGTAATACATGATCCGCACGCGGAGCATGTATTAAAAACGGCACTGTATGTTGTTCCCATCCTACTTAAGCACCACATCCCAGAAATAATTTCGAGCACCTGGAAAGGTGTCAAAAGAGTGTCGCGACAGTGTCGAGACAGTGTCGGGCGAGTGTCTCCCAGGGCCCGACACGTGAAAACCCTCGAGATTCGGCACTTTTTGGGGCGCTCGAGATTCTTCCTGGTGCTCAAAGCTAAAGTGGGTTGGAGCATCATAAGCCGCTGCCTCGGCAGTGCGGCGCGATCCTCCGACCCCGTCTCGAGGCAAGATTTCGAACAGGGGGTCGACTGCAGGGGTGGCTTGCCCCAGGATTGGGCCACTCGTCGAAGCTCTGAAAAATACGGCGCCCGTTCTGGAGGAGGAGGAGGAGGAGGAGGAGGAGGAGGAGGGAGGAGGAGGAGGAGGAGGAGGAGGAGGAGGAGGAGGAGGAGGAGGAGGAGGAGGAGGGAGGAGGAGGAGGAGGAGGAGGAGGAGGAGGAGGAGGAGGAGGGGGGAGGGGAGGAGGAGGAGGAGAGGAGGAGGAGGGGGAGGAGGGGGAGGAGGGAGAGGAGGAGGAGCAGGAGGAGGAGGAGGAGGAGGAGGAGGCGGGCCACTCGAGGCAACGGCGGCCCGCCCATCCAGGCCCGGATCCGCGCCAGCTCGGTCCCCAAGCAGTGACCCTCCCTGGGCCCATGCTGACCCGTGGGTCGAGGCGGGCCCGGCTGCGGCGACGCGAAGGCTTCGGGAGACCCAGAGAGCCCCCCGCTGCCTCGACCGGCCCTCCTCCGAAGTCTCCCTCCCCCGACTTCCGACGCAGGGGAACATGTGAAGCAACACGACCAGAGCCCAGGACCCCATCATCCTGCGCCATTTTCCCAGCCAGGTCGATCTGCGAGGGCCCTGGAGCCCGAAACCGGGCGAAAACAACGCCCAGCCCGAAAGAATTGAGACGCCAGGGTCTCAGGGTCTGGCCCCGCTCGGGAAGCCCCGGGGGCACCAGGAGCGACACTGGCCAGCAGATGGGGGCGAGCGGGCCAAGAGCAAGAACAGCAGAGCTAGTGGAAGTCCGATGCAAAATAAGGCACTCTGATACCAAACACTGAGCATGACACTAACCAAGCGGAAGCATCAGTCGCGGAGCGGGGGCTTGTTCCATGCCTTGTTCTTCCTCCTCCTGCTCCTCCGCGCCTCCGTCTTAGCCCCCACCCTCACCCGAGCCCCCGCTTCCGCGACCATACCACACCACGGAGCAAGTGGCATCACAAAGGTGCAATACACACGTGGTGGGAATCAGACGGGAGACAAGACAACCCAGCCCCTGGGGCTCCAGGAGGTGGGGCTGGATGCCGCCGGCGATCTCGAGAGGCCCCGGCACCCTGCGGGCCTCCTGCGGGGCCAGGAGGGCGGGGCGAGAGTGGGGACGAGGGCACTAGGCGGCGAGCCGCCCAGCCGAGGCGCTGGCCTGGCGGGCTTCTCCTCCTCCTCCTCCTCCTCCCTCCTCCTCCTCCTGCTCCTCCTCCTCCTCCTCCTCCTCCTCCTCCTCCTCCTCCTCCTAGTCCTCCTCCTCCTCCTCCTCCTCCTCCTCCTCCTCCTCCTCCTGCTCCTCTTCTTCTTATTATTATTAATAGTCTTCTTATTAGTATTATTATTATTCGTCTTCGTATTCTTATTATTACTATTCTTATTATGCTTATTATTATTATTCTTAGTATTATTATTCTGATTCGTCTTATTATTCTTATTATTATTATTCTTCTTACTATTCTTCTGAATAGTATTAGTATTCTTCGTATGTTTCTCATTATTCTTCTTATTATTATGATTGTTATTATTATTCTTATTATTAGTATTCTTCTTCTTTATTAGTATTATTATTATTCTTATTATTCTTATTATTTTTCTTATTCGTATTATTATTCTTATTATTCTTATTAATATTCTTCTTCTTATTATTCTCATTAGTATTATTGTTGTTGTTATTATTAGTATTGGTATTTTTAGTCTTATTATTCTTAACATTATGAATATTATTATTATTCGTATGATTATGATTATTCTTATTATTATTAGTAGTATCATTATCATTACTAGTATTGGTATTCTTAGTATTGTTCTTAATAGTATTAGTAGTCTTCTTATTAGTAGTATGATTTCTCATTAGTATTATTATTGTTATTCTTCTTATTATTATTATTAGTACTCTCATTCTTCGTCTTATTATTATTAGTAGTAGTATTATTATTCGCATTCTTATTCTTATGATTATTATTATTCGTCTTAGTCTTATTATTACTATTACTGTCATTAATATCAATATTAGTATTAGTCTCCTTATTGTTCGTCTTCGTCTTCTTCTTAGTATTAGTATTATTAATACGATTATTATTACTATTATTATTATTATTATTCGTCCTCCTGCGCCGCCTCCTCCTCCTCCGCCTTAAATCAGAGCTGTTGGCTAGTGTCCTCCTGCGCCTCCTCCTCCTCCTCCTCCTCCTCCTCCTTCTCCTCCTCCTCCCCCTCCTCCTCCTCCTCCTCCTCCTCCTCCTCCTCCTCCTCCTCCTCCTCCTCCTGCTCCTCCTCCCTGGCTGCCTGCCCTTCCCCGCCAGAGACATGCCTCTCCGCGCGCACTGCTCCCCACGCCAGCGGTCGTCCTCCAGGGCCGCGATCCGCCTGGCGACGCGCTCCGCTTCCAGGCGAACCTTGCGGCACCGCGAGAGAAGCAGGAAGCCAGGGGGGCCAAGACTCGAGACGACAAGGTCGCGATCAAGGTTCTCGGACAATCTTTAGTTGTTGGGCCGCCTGCAGCCTCCAAGGACTGCGATATGTTGTTTGTCGAATTCTCAAGCCCTCGAACCCTCGAATCCTCGTCCTACCTCCTCCGCCTCCTCCTCCTCCTCCTCCTCCTCCTCCTTCTCCTCCTCCTCCTCCTCCTCCTCCTTCCCCCCACGTTCCTACACCTCCTCCTCCACATCCTCCACCTCATCCATCCATTTTCCGAATACAATATATATATATATATATATATATATACACCTCCCCCTGACGAACCCTTAGGCGCGTTGGTAAAGCGAGCCGGGCGTTTCGTCGCATATGTCCCCGTCACTGATGACCCTGATGCTTGAGATGCGCACCAGCTTCAATGATGGAGGGTGGCCAGTTTTCAATATGTCGGTTTCGCCTTAGCGCCGCGCAAGTTCGTGTCAAAAGTTCGCAACAGTCTCAAAGATGAGTGGTGGCTCCCGTTCAAAGCATTACTTTTGCATTAGCGCCGCGCGCAATCATCTGTAAACAAGTGCAACCGCTTCGAGGATGGAAGGCGGACCGTTTTCAACATGTGGCTCTCGCCTGAGCGCCGCGCACGTTCGTATGAAACATGTGCCACAAGTCCCAAGTTCCGCGTTCAAGTCTCCGGCATGGTGTTCTAGCACGACTTAGGACTGTCAGGACGCAGCAGCCACATTCGTTCGCGGTGTTAAAGTCCCAAGAATGGTGTTCTGGCGCGATCAAGGACTGTCCGCACGCAAAAGTCACGTTGATTCTTGGCGATGAAGTCCCAAGGACGGCGTCTTAGAACTATTGAGGATTCTCAAACGGTTGTCTTCTGATAGGGCACTTCCCGTACAATGAGCAACCATTCTCGTAGGGCAGAAAACTACGCAGCTTTGCTCGTTGTCACAACAACGCGTAACTAGCAGCGTTTCTCCGTCCTCCCCCCCGCCGCGGGCACCGCGAATCGCCGCGCGGCCCGCGGGGGGGGGGGGGCGGGGGGGGGCGGTTGGGTAAGAGGTTGAAAGAGGGGGGCGCGCTCAGGTCCTCGTGCACTTCGTGTTCTGGGTCTCGGTCCCCTTCATGACTTTCTCCCCGCGGTGGGGGGAGGGCAAGCCCACCCCCGCGCACGACGCGCGGCGCAGGGGCGCGCAGCGGCCAATCGCGAGGCCTGCGCGCTCCGCGCGCGCGTCGGCTTGCCGCGGTAACGGCGCTCTCCTTTCCCCTCACCCTTCGCCGCTCCTGTGGTTGGGGCGGGTTGCGGGGTGTCGCTGCACCCGCGCGCTCCCGCGGGGCGCGGCGACGCGAGCAAGGTGTCGCGCGCCCGCCCCGCGGGTGCGGGCCTACCCAATGAGCAGCGCTCCCCGCGCTCTCCCCAACCCCCGCAAAGCTGCCTAGGGTAGCGTCTTCTGGGGAGGAGACCTGAGGAGGAACTTGGAGGGAGGGCGTACTGCAACATAGCTGATGCGTCTTGAGTCTGCACTGGTCCTCCTCCTCCTCCTCCTCCTCCTCGTCCTCCTCCCCCTCGTTCTCCACCTCCTCCTCCTCCTCCGCTCCTCTCTTCCTGCTTAATATCATCGTTCGCCGTTTTCCACTATAAACGACCGTTCCTCATCGCACCACCAGACACCTCGGTAACTAGGCCGAGCTGGGCGACTCGCCTGAAACCTCGTCATCGCGTCTGACCCCTCAGCTACATAAATGGAGTTCCCGGTGTTGAAACCGCAGGAATGGTGTTTGGCCCCGGCTTGGGATTGTGAGGACGCGACAGTCACGTTGATCCTCGGCGTTCAAGTCCCGGGAACCATGTTTTGGCACGATTGAGGATTAGCAGGCGGGTCTTCTTATGGGCCACTTCCCGCAATGAATACAATGTACTGCGGGAACCTCTGAAGAGGGAGCTTCGAGGGAGGATGTACTGCAACATAGTTGATGCGTATTGGGTTTACACTGGTTCTCCTCCTCCTCCTCCTCCTCCTCCTCCTCCTCTCCTCCTCCTCCTCATCCTCCTACTCTTCCTCCTCCTCCTCCTCCTCCTCCTCCTCCTCCAGCTCCTTCTCCTCCTCCTCCTCCTCCTACTCCTCCTCCTCCTCCTCCTCCTCCTCCTCCTCCTCCTCCTCCTCCTCCTCCTCCTCCTCCTCCTCCCATGACGACATGCAAGTCCGCGAAAGGCCTGGCACAATAAAACCTATCCTCGGCCCTCCCTCCATCCTCCCTCCTCCGATTTCCCTTCCATCCTTTCTACCCCCCTCCCCTAATGACTCCCCGCCTCTCCCATCCGCCTCGAGCTCATCGCCCCCCTCCTGGCGGTGGCAGCGCGGCTTTCCAAAAATCTTCGAACACGCTCGACACTTCGGAAAGCCTTCGAAAAATCTCCGAAACCGCACGAAAACATACAACGACCCCCGAAAACCTTACACATCGGTTGCCCGAAAACGTTTGGGAAACTCCCACAATCTCGGAAAACCGGTTGGACCATGCTGAAGTCCTTCAAAAATCGACGGCGACGACGACGACGGCCACGACCACGACGACGACGATGACGACGACGACGACGACGATGACGACGACGACGACGACGACGACGACGACGACGACGACGACGACGACGACGACGACGACGACTATGACGATCGACCGTACCTTAGGCGGGCCAGTTCCTTGCACGGTCTGCCACTTAGTTGTCAGTGGCATGCCGGGCTGCGGCAACAGCGGCTCGCTGTTTGTCGAGCGTCAGCTGGTCCCCATGGGTCACCGCAGCTTTCGCCTTATGGTATGTATGGAAAGCAAGCACGGCCAGTCGCAACGCACCAGCACGCGAGAACGGGCAGCTCGTTGTCGGCTCCGATGCCGAGAAAGGTGAGTGGATGAAAGGGGAGGCCAAGGAGGGAGCGCAGCACAGGACAGGTGACTAGGTGAGAGATAGCATCAGACTGCGTGCAGCCGAAGAGGCAATCCACTACCAAGCAGACATGCACAGGAATGCTCGTCGTCCCTCCGCCAGCAAGAGTCTAAAGGATCGATCACTGCCAAGCGAGCTTGAACTTCTTCATGGTCGAGAGACACTCCCCCCCCACCGCCCGCCCACCGTCCCGACCACAGAAGCAACAAGCCACAATGTGTGGAGGCGTTTCTTGAGAGCCTTGTCGAATGTGTTGGGAAAAAGATTGACGCGCAGGAAGGTGGCGATTGCCCTCTGCAGCTTGGGTGTCTTGGCAACTGCGATGGCTGCTGCCACCTCCCTTCTGCAAGCGGCCTGGGCAGCTCGCCGGGTCTGGATGGGGAGGCCGCGCCTCGGGGGTGCCTGCACGAGAGATGCAAAGCGCTGCGCTATGCCCTGCTTCTGCACCCAGCAGGGTGCGCTTCACTCTCCGCGGATCCTGGCGACTCCTGGGAGCGCCTGCGCCGCGGCTTCTTGCCACTGGTCGAGCTCAGCACGCCGGTCGGTCAGGGTGAGAGCGGAGCAGCGCCACATGCTTGCCGCCCCCGACAGGAGCGCTGACGAGGCAGAGACGAGCCCGTGGCAAGAAAAAAAACGCCTGCGTTGCGGAATGTGTTAGGAGAAGCCTCAAGACCTTGTGGACGGCAAACTCCTCTTTCAGCAAGACCGTTCTGTCCATATGAAAGAGTTGAGCTAAGTAGCTCAGCGTGGAAAAAGAAACGCTGTTCTAGAGTAGAAGGCCTACGCTGGTGGGGACGTCAGCATTTCGGATATCGATGGCTCTCGACCACCATTTGGCGACCGCATCTTTCCTGACTAAAGCCTCCGAGGCCCCTGGACCAAATTGGACCCTAAGGTACTTCGCAAAAGACGCGATCTTTACATCTTGCCAGGCAGGACTGTGGGTCCGAAGAAAACTCCGAGTTCGCGTTGTTGCTGCGTCAGAAAGCTCTATCAAAAGGGGTACTATGACGGTCTTGGCCGTCTGCAGCCTGAGTTTCGCCAGCTCTTCGGCCTCACGAAACACAGGAAAGACTCTCGTGAAGTCGTGCAGTCTGGGTTGAACAAGGCCTGTGCCATCCGCGCACCACGATGACGATGACGATGACGATGTCGATAACGATGACGATAACGATGACGATGACGATGGCGATAACGATGACAGCGGCGGCGGCGGCAGCGACAGCGACGGCGACGGTGACAGCGACGCGACGGCGCGCAGCCTGCTCGTTCCCGGGCTCCACCTCCTCGGCGCACCGCAGGTCGTCGAGGGCGGCGCACATCGCCTCCGCCGGCAGCCCCTCGCGGCCGTCTTCCAGCCGCGCCTCCGCTCCGCCGCCCAGAGGCCAGGCACGTCGACGTCGTCGGCGTCAGCTCCGTCTGGTCGTAGCCGTCAACGCCGTCGTCGCTGACGTCGTCGTCGTTCTCCTCCTCCTCCTCCTCCTCCTCCTCCTCCTCCTCGTCCTCCTCCTCCTCCTCCTAATTAGTCCTCGTCCTCGTCCTCGTCCTCATCTTCCCCCCCCCTCTTCCTCCTCCTCCTCCTCCTCCTCCTCCTCCTCCTCCTCCTCCTCCTCCTCCTCCTCCTCCTCCTCCTCCTCCTCCTCCTCCCCCTACTCCACCACCTCCACCTCCATCTTCTCTTATCCCCTCTCACTTATGCCTTCGGGCATCACCTCTGGTCCATATGGCTGGACGCGGCTCGGAGAACGAATCAGAGTGGTGCCCGGGAGGGGCCACGGAAGGGGGAACGAGGAGGAGGAGCAAGAGGAGGAGGAGGGGGAGGACGACGGTTGCGACGCCGACAACGACAACGGCGACGACGACGACGACGACGACGACGACGACGACGACGACGACGACGACGACGACAACAGCGACGACGACGACGACGACAACGGACGACGGAGGACGGAGGACGGAGGACGACGACGACAACGACAACGACAACGACAACGACGACGACGACGACGACGACGACGACGACGACGACGACGACGACGACGACGGCCGCGACCAGACGGAGCTGACGACGACGACGACGACGACGACGACGACGACGACGACGAGAAGGAGGAGGAGGAGGAGGAGGAGGAGGAGGAGGAGAGGGAGGAGGAGGAGCACGAGGAGAACGGTGTCGGAGAACTTCTGTTGCTTCCTGCGAACATGTAGGCCCTGGGTGATTTTCGAACAGCTGCGCCTCGTTGAGAGCCTCCGGGGGCCCGGGAATCGTCCCGAACGGCCGCTGGGGGCCCAAGCTGCCAATCGAAGCAGGAGGAGGAGGCGCCAACCCAGCTGGATTCATCAATCCAGCTGCTACTCTCGTGTGCTCCAGTCCCAGACCCTCGCAGCCTTGCAGAACTTGTCGTAGAGGAGGAAGAAGAGGAGGAGGAGGAGGAGGAGGAGGAGGAGGAGGAGGAGGAGGAGGAGGAGGAGGAGACAGAGAGGAGGAGGAAGTGGAGGAGAGGGAGCGCCCGTGGCTCCCACCCTCTGGAGATGCACGCGCGCGCGAGTGGGAGGCCGTCGGAGCCGCCGCCGAAGCAGCGAGCGCAGGCCGGGGTGCCGCTGGCCGGACGTTGCGGGCGCGGGCCCGCCGGGGCGCGAGGGGCGGCGCGCCAGCTCCGCCGGGGGCCGCGACAGGGCTGTCGGGGGCGTCGGGGATCGCGCCAGGGGCGCGCGCGGGGAGCGGCGGAAGCCGGACGCGCTGGGCCGCGGTGCGGGCCGAGGGCCCCGCAGGGAGGGGGTGGCCGGAGCGGGCCCGGGCGGTGGCGCAGCAGGTGGCGCGCGCGTGGTGCGACGTGGCAGGCCGCGCCACTGCCCACGGGAGCCCGGTCTCGCCCCCGCGGCTCGGCGTCGTGGTCCGGTGGGGCACCGAGGCCGAGCGGGCGCAGGGGGCACGCACGGGTGCTTGAGCGCGCGGTCGCGCAGACACTCCACCACGCTCCACGGCAGCTGGATGAGCAGGGGCGGAGTTCGGCCGCACGGCCTTCACGCCCCCGTCTGCGGCACAGCCGGCGCGGGCCGGTGCGCATGCGAGGCCGCCTCGGCCATCCTCCCGCCAACGTCCGCCACGCGGCCCAGCGCGTGCTGGGGGCCAGACAGGCCACCTGGCGTCGGAGCACCGCCCATCGCTGCAGCAAAGCACGCGGCAGGGGACGCTGGGGCCACCACGCGCGCGGGCGGCACTCGAGGGTCTCGTGGAACGACTCGGGGTGTCAGCAGCGGGAGGCCACGCGCGCAGGCGTGCGCTGCGCGAGAGCACGGCAGCCCGAACATCAGCCAGGAGGAACCCCTCCATCGCCGCGGCATTGCCTGTAACCACGGCCTGCTGGCGACGTCCGCAGAACCGCTTGGTGGGCGCATCAACCGCGGCCTTGGTCACTTCGAGCAGGTACTGGGCCATCGACTGCCACTTCGCCCAGACAGGGGCGGCCCAAAGCCCTTCCAGAACAACGCGGGCCAGGAGCATTTCAGGAGCTCGCTAAGTCGCGCAACACTGTAAGAGTAACCTCGGCCGTCCTCTCACAAGCGGCCCAGGCTGCGGGCATCAGCGCTCTTCTTTCCCCGCTGACTATCCCAAGGCATGCGCGGGAGGAGCAAGAACAGGAGTACAAGGAAGAGGAGGAGGAGGAGGAGGGAAGGAACTCGACGGTTATCGCCCTGACTCCAAATGGGGCGCGCAGATCCAGCTCGAGATTCTTGCTGGAACGCGCCAGGTCCAGGCATCAATTTGGGGGGATGACTAGGGGTCGTCGTCATCATCGTCGCCGCCGCCGCCACCGCCGTCGTCGTCGTCGCCGTCGCCGTCGCCGTCGCCATCGCCGTCGCCGTCGCCGTCGCCGTCGTCGTCCCCGTCGCCATCGTCGCTGCCATCCTCGTTGTCCTTCTCCTCCTGATGTCGATGTGGCCATCTCCTCCCTGACCGCCCTTCCCTCCCTGCGCCGCTCCCCTCCTCCCTATCCCTGCACCCCGAGACTGGATCGTCCTTTCGCTCGGATCACACGAGGAGGTATGCGAGGGTGGTGGCCTTCTGAGAAGGGCGCCCTGTCTCTTAGAGGCCCACTTGTCTTCTAGGAAGCCAACTTAAGAGCAACCAGAAATAGGGCAATCCCTTTTACAGGAGAAATAAAAAAAAAAAAAAAAAAAAAAAAAAAAAAAAAAAAACGTCTGTCTTCTTGGAGGAGTGACCCCTTCGCCCTTGCCTTTTGTGCGCGCCGCCAGGTCCCTTCCAAAGATTCGACCTCGTCCAAAAAATCAAAGCTGTCGCCCCTTCTTTCTGCGGCACTCCTCGAGCCCGGCGCCACCCGCGAGAGCCCCTGGGCCCAAGGCGAAGCGAAAACGCCCGTCGTGAACGAGATTCACAGAGATCCACGGACCGTGGCCAGGCCATTCGTGGGCCCAGGAGCGGTGCATGCGGCCCCATCGCTTGGCAGAGGAAACGTGTAATCAACCGTATGCACCGCGCCTGGGCCCCAGACTGGGCCTGGCAAGGGGGCGGTGGGAGCGTGCAGACCTCGTCGCCTGATTCGCGGCACCCGCATTTGAGGGACCTCCAACCCCATGTACCAATAGCTCCTACAAATCAACGTTTCCATCCGCGGGTCCGGAAACCTCACCCCCTTTACCTGGGGACACTCGCGGGGATCTGGACGTTCCCTTGCTCGATACCCTCCTTTAGCGCCTGCGCGCGCCAAAGAACTCGCCAGATGCACGCACAGGCGCATGCTGGATACCCTCATTTGGCGCCCATCCCCCTCGCGCACGTCGGCTTACACACGACAAGCCGACGACCACTCCAGCGCGCCCTGCTTCCAACCCTCCACTCTACGGCCAGACTTTGTAAGTCCGCGGGCGCCAAATGGTCTAAGAGCAAGACGCCAGTCAGCAAGCGGCAGGGTGCACTGGGAGCGAATTGAGGCACGAAGACGAAAACGAACAGCGCGCGAGGGAGGAAGAGGGAGGAGCCCGCTCAGACCATCAAAGCCGGCGCGGGGATGCCGCAGCAGATCTTGCCTGCGGGCCGCGCGCGCGCAGCGGAGTCCAGGGCCAAACTCCCGACAGCACAACGAGTCGGGTGTTGCTAGAAGTACCCCAGGATTCTCGGGGCGGCCCAGGCGGCCTCCAGGGCGCCCCTCACGAGGCCCAGAGGACCCCAGGGGCTCCCAAATGGAGCGAGAAGCTGGGGGCACCTTGGGCTTAAGTCGGGCGTGTCCCCCTACATGGGGATTTTCGACGAAAAATAGAAAATACCAAAAAATACCCCCAAAATTGCCAAAAAATGCTCAAAACATAGTCCCCTGACTATTTTTGGACTATTCTTCGACTATTTCTGGGGTACTTACTTTCTCGTCGAAACTCCCCCTGTATGGGGACACGCCCGACGTAACCTTGGACCAGGGGCACTTCCAGCAACACCCGAACGAGAACCCTGGGCCCGGAGCCTCCACCGGGAAAAAAAGCGTCGTGACCTCTCCGTGTCGCCCTGCAGGCACGCGGGATGTGAGAGAGGGAGGAGGAGGAGGAGGAGGAGGAGGAGCAGGAGGAGGAGGAGGAGGAGGAGGAGGAGGAGGAGGAGGGCACGAAGCTCAAGGAGGAGGAGAGGAGGAGGAGGAGGAGGAGCTCCGTGCCGCACTTCTAGCAACACCCGAACGAGAGCCCTGGGCCAGAGCCTCCGCCGGGAGAGAGAAAAAAAAAAAAAAAAAAAAAAAAAAGCGTCGCGACCCCTCCGTGCCGCCCTGTGCAGGGCTGGCGGCGCGCAGGAAAACGGGATCCCGAAGCACACGGGCGCCTTGGACCCCGAGGCCTGCCCCCTGGGGACGAGCCCAGGGGATCGAAGACCTCCACCGTGAAGATCCGACCAATGTTTCTGTCGGGCGTATCCCCCTACAGGGGGACCTTCGAGGAAACAAAAAAAAGTACCCCAAAAATACCTCAAAAAGGCCAGCAAATGCTCAAACGTCCCCAGACGATTTTTGGACTATTGTTTGACTATTTTGGAAGTGTCTTATATTTGTCGTCGAAAATCCCCCTGTAGGGGGACAGGCCCGACTTAAACCTATATGCTAAAGGCTCTTCGCAGTCCGAGCGGGGGGCCGACCTCCAGAGCGGTGGTTGTGGCTCCTCTTGGAGCCCCCAAGGCGCGCGGGGGGCCCCCGCGGACGGCGAAAAAAAGCTGAGGATCCGTTTCCGGGTGGCCAAGGGCCACAGAAGCTGCCTGCAACCGCATGCCCGCATCCCCTTCGGCCTCCTCGTCCTCTGGCACTTTCCCTCGCCAACTTCTCGACCGCTTGCCGGCGCGAGGCGTTGTGCACCCGCCGAGGGCGACAAAGTAGGCAGCCGAGGCCCTCAGTGGAGCCACCCGTTTCCCTCTGGACCCGCTCGCGTCCTGGCGACCATCCCTGGCCACAGGGGTCCCAATCTCTTCCCAAGAGAGCTTTGCGTCTCAGACATATTTTTGATGGCCCCGGGGCCCTGTAACGGGCCTCGGATGCCAAAATCGTAAGGAAACATATATAAATATATATATATATATATATATATATAGTATGATTAAAACCTTTAATTAAAAAGCAATCCTCTATAAATAGATATACATATACATATGCACATTTGACTGTATGTTTGTTTGCATTTCCTTTGTATTCTTGATCGGCATAAAATGCACTCGTCGGAGACTTGGATCCCTGCGCCCCCCAAAGAGGCGGGGCCACTGCCTGGGCGCGCCGGTAGAGGGCCTTCACGCTCCGCGGGTTGACGGCCAGCGCGAGGTCCGCGGCCGCCTTGGCCGACTGCCACTCCGGCGGCGATGCCTGCGCGCGCGCGCCCGCGAGAGCACAGGCATCGCGGGAGGCGGGGAAGCATCCTCAAAGGGGCCCCAGGGCACACAAATAAATACACACAAATAAAAGGATTCCCCATATTTTTTCCACATTTATGAAGTTTTTGTCTTCCCCCCCACTTCCTATATTTTCCCATCTTTTCCCGCGAGTCGACGATGAATTGTGTCTGTGTGTTTCTTTCCCTCCTGAATCCTACCCCCCCGTGCAAAAAAAGAACTGGCGTTTCTCTACACTCCTTCCCCCCCCACACCCCCCCAAAAATTTCAATATTCAATGCGGTGCCGGCTTTGTTCTCGAACTTCGCCGGTCGCGCGGTCAACACTGAATCGGGGATGGACAGACCTCCCTTTAGCAAAACGTGGCTCAGCGAAAACGACCTCGGGCCTGAACCCGGCGGGCGCAAGCCTGGGAAAAATGACGGCCGCGGCGCCCCCTCGAGAACCGCAAAGGGACAATTCACTACTTAATCGACGTGTCAGGGCAGGAGGTCTGTCCACCCCCGATTGACATGCGGGGGCCGGGGGGCTCGCCAGACACCATTTGCTTTTCTCGCACGGAGGAGGGCGCCTGGCGGCGGGGCCGAGGCCAGCTGCACGCAGCAGGCTTCGTGACACCACCCATAATTGAGTCGGGCGTGTCCCCCTGCAGGGAGGGGGATTTTGGGCGGGAAAAAAAATACTCCAAAAACACCCCCAAAATGGGCAAAAAAAAACGTCCCCGGACTATGTTTTGACTATTTCTGGCTATTCCCCCTGTGGAGGGACAGGCCCGACTTAAACCTATAGAGAGGGCGAGAAAAAGAGACGGAGAGAGAGGGAGAGAGAGAGAGAGAGAGAAAAAAAAAAAAAAAAAAAAAAAAAAAAAAAAAAAAAAAAAAAAAGAGCGAGCGAGCGAGAGAGAGAGAGAGAGAGAGAGCTCACACTGGCAACTCTTCTTCTTGCGTGGCGAGATGACGTCTGCCCCCTCTCGGGAGGAAGGGCGAAGCTCTGGGATCCACAGGACCCGTCGCCCGCCCCTGGCCTTCCACCCCCCCTTTGTCCAGCCCCGGCCCCGGGAGTCCGGCGAGCGCGGAGCCGTCGTCACGACTGGCTGCGCCTCCGTGGCGGGCACGGCACCTGTTTCGCGCTATGTTTCCTGGGAGCGTGCTCTCTGGAAGCGAATGGGACTCCTGACGCATTCGCCTCGCAGGCAGCCAAGAAGCCTGGCCGAAAATCACGGCTCGGATATCGTGCGGGTAGCTATCCACGTATCACTCCGCGTAACACCGTGTATGTACGGCCCTGCACCACTGCGCACAGCAAATGCAAAGGCGAGAGACGATCATGGGCTGGGAAGGGACCTCCGGGGGGACGACGAAGGATCAGAGGAAGGATAACCGCAAGGAAGAAAAAGATAGAAAGACAACGAAAAAACCTGATTCCCACAACAACGTGTGGACACGGCATGTCGACCAACAGGCAAAAGCGCTCAGCAAACGCCAGGCCTCCAGGAACACGGCCGCGAGGTTGGCGTGCAGCGTGCAGACGAGCACCTCCCAGAACGAAGTGCCAACACACGCCAAGGTCGAGGAAAGTAGAGCGCGCGTGCATCGTTGGCCTAGTCCCTCGCCGAAAGCGCGAATGTGCAAGTCAAGCGCGAGAAAAACAAAAACACATTATCGCTACTATTGGTAACCAGCTTCATTTCGAAGCAAGCCCTAAAAAACTGATCGGACAAGAACGGGAAGCACCAATTGCATGCCCAGTGGGCTCGTAAGAAGAAAACCGAAAAAGAGGCGGATGCCAAGGATGACAGTGTGGATGACGGGGGGGCAGCGAGGGGAGCAGGAAGACAACGAGTAGGCAGACAAGCAGAAGAACGAGGAGGAAGAGTTTGAGAAGGACGAATACAAGGAGAAACAGAGCGGAGGGGGAGAAGGAGGAGGAGCAGGAGGAGGAGGAGGAGGAGAAGGAGGAGGAGGGGGAGGAGGAGAAGAGGAAGGACGATGACGGCAAAGGAGGATGGTAAGGAGCCCGACGAAAAGGACGTCGAAGAAAAGGGGTCCTCGTGATCGTTTGAGGCTACCCTGGGACTGCTGGGGCCGTCTGGGGCTACCTTGGGGCATCCTAGGGGCCTTTTAGGGGCCTGTCGGGGTCCTCGTGGGGGCCACTGGGGTTCTCTTGGGCTGTCTGGGCATGACTTACGGCTCTGCTGGGGCTCTCTCAGGCCGTATTGGCGCCATCTTGGGCTGCCTTGGGCAGTCTCGGGGCCTCCTGCGGCTCTCTTTGGGGCCACTTGGGGCCCTCTGTGGGTCCTGCGGGGGGGGGGGGGGGGGGGGGGGGGGAACTCTGCTGGGCCACGGTTGGGCCCCTCCAGGAGCGAGCCCAAGACGATGTTGCTTCGGAGCCCCCTCCGAAACCATGTTTGAGGATGTTCAGGAGGAGGTTGAGGATGAGAGCAGGAGTAGTAGCAGAAGAAGGAGGAGGAAGAGGAGGAGAAAGAGGAGGAGGATGAGGAGGATTAGGAAGAGGAGGGGGAAGAAGAGGAGGAGAGGAGGGGGGACACCGACGAGTTGCAGCGCGGAGGAGGAGGAGAAGGAGGAAAAGGAGGAGGAGGAGGAGGAGGGCGAAACGCCTGTGTTTCATAAACCTTCCTGACAAGAGCGGAAAGCGCGTGAAGTCGAAGATCCTGGAGGAGCATGTGCCAACAGTGAGATCAGCTGTAGCACAGGCGCTCTTCCCGAACATCCATAGGGGGACGAGGTGGAGTTCACTACCCGACAAGTTCACACGTGGCGCTGAACTGGCGCACACACTAAACTTACCCATTCAAGGTGAGCAGAAAGCGTCCAACACCTCGCCAAAAAATTGCAACAGCATCGAGAACAATGGCACCGTAGGCGCACCCCCAGAAGTCCATAAAGGAAAAATGTAAAGCTCACTTCCCGCGCCAGTTCAAACGGTGCGCTGAACTTACGCGGGTAATGACATGATCATGACCCGGCTCCTGATCCTCCTGCTTCCGCTCGTACTCCTCCGCCTCGGCGCCTTTGCGTCCGCCTGATCGCTCTCGTCGCCTGCCACTTTCGCCGACAACAGGGCCAGTTCACTACCCCCACAAGTTCGGGAAGCAACATTACTTCGCCTGTCCGAAAACATGTGGTTGAGGATGTCTCGAACGAAACGCTTCCAAAGGCATGTCTAGGGGGGTGCCTCGAACGAAGCGCTTATGTTTTAAGAAAATGTTGAAACATCATTGTTTGTTCGCTAAGTCTCCACATGTGTCGTGGGGTTATGGTGTTCTTCTCCGCCGCGTCTCACCCGCGTTCCTTCTCCTCCTACTCCCTCTGCGTCTCGCGCCCACATGCCCACTTACACATGAGACGCACGCTCACATACAGCCGCACACGCATCCTACGCATGACACTCGCCAGCAGACACACACCATACAACACTCGCACATACACACACACACCATACAACGCTAGTGCATGCCCGGCGTGTTCACTGCATCATACACCCAAGACGCATGCACAACACACTGGGAACCAACATGAGGCACACGTCCCGATACAGCCGCACACGAATCATACCCATACACATGGCATGCCATATACAAGACGTGAATGCAGGATTCGCACTGCATGGCAGGAGGCTCTCTGCGGGCCATGGCGCAGGGCACGGCAAGCATGGCATATTATCGGCACCATAGGGGGTGCGCAGGGGATGGTCTCTCACCGCGGCCGCTATCCGTGACGGTCGTCCACGGCACAGGAGACATGGCATATTCTCGACACCATAGGGGGTGCGCAGGGGGTGGTCTGTCACCTCGCCGCTATCCGTGACGGTCGTCCAGGGCACAGCAAACAGGGCATATTTTCGGCACCATCAAGGGGCGCATGGGGTGAACTCTCACCGCGGCCGCTATCCGTGACGGTCGCCCAGGGCACAGCAGACATGGCATATCCTCGGCACGCAAAGGGGGGTCTGTCACCGCGGCCGCTATGTGTGACGGTCGCCCAGGGCACAGCAGGCATGGCATATTCTCTGCACCATAGGGGGTGCGCAGGGGGTGGTCTCTCACCGCGGCCGCTAGCCGTGTCGGTCGCCCATGGCACAGCAGGCATGGCATATTCTCTGCACCATTGGGGATCCGCAGGGGGTGGGCTCTCACCGCGGCCGCTACCCGTGGCGGTCGCCCAGGGCAGAGGAGGCATGACATATTCTCGACATCATAGGGGGTGCACAGGGGGTGGTCTCTCACCGCCGCCGCTATCGGTGACGGTCGTCCAAGGCACGGGACACATGGCATATTCTCGACAACATAGGGGGTGCGCAGGGGGTGGTCTCTCACCGCGGCCGATATCTATGACGGCCGTCCAGGGCACAGCAAACATGGCATATTCTCGGCACCATAAAGGGGCGGAAGGGGTGGTCTCTCACCGCGGCCGCTATCCGTGACGGTCGTCCAGGGCACAACAGGCATGACCTATTCTTGACACCATAAGGGGTGCGCAAGGGGTGGTCTCTCACCACGGCCGCTATCCGTGACGGTTTTCCATGGCACAGCAGGCACGGCAGATTCTCGACACCATAGGGGGTGCGCAGGGGGTGGTCTGTCACCTCGCCGCTATCCGTGACGGTCGTCCAGGGCACAGCAAACATGGCATATTTTCGGCACCATCAAGGGGCGCAGGGGGGGTCTCTCACCGCGGCCGCTATCCGTGACCGTCGTCCATGGCACAGCACGCATGGCAGATTCCCGACACCATAAGAGATGCGCAGGGGGTGGTCTTTCACCGCGGCCGCTATCCGTGACCGTCGTCCATGGCACAACAGGCATGGCAGATTCTCGACACCATAAGAGATGCGCAGGGGGTGGTCTCTCACCACGGCCGCTACCCGTGACGGTCGCCCATGGCACACAAGCATGGCGTATGCTTGACACCATAGGGGGGGCTTAGGGGGGGGGGTCTCTCACCGCGCCCGCTATCCGTGACGGTCGTCCATGGCGCAGCATGCAAGGCATATCCTCGACACCATAGGGGGCGCGCAGGGGAGGGTCTCTCACCGCGGCCGCTATCCGTGACGGCCGTGCATGGCACAGCAGGCATGGCATATTCTCGACACCATAGGGGGTGCGCAGGGGGTGGTCTCTCACCGCGCCCGCTACCCGCGACGGTTTTCCAAGGCATAGCAGGCATGGCACATTCTCGACATCATGGGGGTGCGCAGGGGGGAGGTCTCTCAGCGCTACCCCTACGCCTGCCAGCGGGGAGCGTGGCCGGCGTGGCACTTTCTCGACACCACACGGGGTGCGCTGGGGTGGTCTTCCTATCCATTGCGGGCTCGCAAAGCGTGGCAAGCGTGGCATATTTTCGACACCATAAAGGGGGTGCGCAGGGGGGTGGTCTCTCACCGCGGCCGATATCCGTGACGGTCGTCCATGGCACAGCACGCATGGCATAGTCTCGACACCATAGGGTGTGCGCAGGGGCTGGTCCCTGTGTGCGACCGCTATCCGCCACGGTCGCCCACGGCGGTCGATGAGGAGGCAGAAGGAGGAGGAGGAGGAGGAGGAGGAAGAAGAAAGCAGGGAATGTGAAATGGTGGGAGGAGGATTGACGACGAAAGCGAAAGAGCTCATCCAGGAGAGAGGAGGAAAGCAGGGAATGAGAAAGGGTGGGGGGAGGATGGACGTTGAAGGCGGTTGTGGTGATAGTGTGGTGCACACGACACATTGAATAAAGTACGTGGGATCCCTCGGTAGCGCAATTCCACTTCATGGACCATCGCAGAAGTTATCCAAGAGAAAAGACGTTTCGAAACAGCCGTTGGCGCATACCGTGATTTCGAGGATGCCTTCAGAGAAACGGCCATGGATAAAGTTCCAATGACAAGGCCAGCGATTCCAACGTCTCTAATTTCCGAGGATGCCTTGGGCGAGACGTTATTTGTTGGCGCAGCGCGTCTTAAGACACGACCCCCATGATCGCGATTTGGAGAGGATGTCTCAAGCAAAACGTTTATTGGGGGGACTTCCGCACGGCGCGTACAAGAGAGGGGCGCCGAACCCTGCCCCTCCTGCTCCTCCCCAGTTGGAAAATATGCCCCGCTGGGTCTGCACCAACGTCCATCGCGCGACTCTTCGAATCTTTGCGCGCTCCCCGTCATCGACCCCCGCGCTGCCCGGCGCAACTCGCAGGCTTTCGCTGGAGAAAAACTGACCGACCAAGATCGGGAGGCATCACATTTTCCACGAAGCTTGTCAGAGAACGCCCTGTTGAGAAAACCACAGACAGTCGGAAACGAAACGCTGACCACCAACAGAACTGCCGGCGGTTCACTGCGTCGGTCTGCTGTGCTCCTGTTGTCTGCCGTGGCCTATGGTCTGCCGTACTACAGCCGTTTTCCCATTCAACTATAAATTCTCAATGAAATCGTTCAATGACGACTGTCTTTCCCTGAACGACGCCGCGCGGCATGCCCGCCGCTTTCCTCGACGCACGCACGAGACAGCGCCGCGCGGGCAGAGTCGGCGCGACTACTGCGACGTCGCCCTGAAGCAGCGCAGCGCGGCGCGTGCACTGCTTTCAAAGAAGCAGCTGCGAAGCCGCTCGAAACCGCTTCGACACCAATCTACGAACCGCTACAATCTACATCTAAGCTGGTGGGCACCTTAAAAAAACTCGACCCGCTTCTACGCGAATCAGAAAGGTTTCTAAAAACTGATTTCTCGACGGCGTCGAACGGTTTCTACGCGGCGTCTTCGAAGAGACCGTTGCGGCGGCGAAGCCAGGGGGCGCTCCCGCGCCGGCTGCGGCGGCTGGCAGGGCGCGCCGCGTCGCGCCGAAACGCGCGCGCGCGCCAACGTAAAGCGGCAACGTCGAACGTGCCCACGACCGTTACATTGCACCGTCCTCCTCCTCCTCCTCCTCCTCCTCCTCTTCCTCCTCCTCCTCTTCCTCCTCCTCCTCCTTCTCCTCCTCCTCCTCCTCCTCCTCCTCCTCCTCCTCCTCCTCCTCCTCTTCCTCCTCCTCATCCCCCCTCCTCCTCCTCCTCCTCCCCCCTCCTCGCCCGCTCCCCGCCGAGCCCAGGCATTGCACAAGCTAGCTGGCGCGCACGGAAAAAAGCGACCATCTGCGCGAGCGACCACGCCCGAAGACTCGCCCGGAAGGTCCGCGCGGTCTGCTCCGTCGCTCTGACCACATCTCGGAACGCGCAGAGTCGGGCGCGAAGCCAGCGCGCGGCGCGCCGCGCCCCCCCACCCCCGCCGACCCGCCCCCCTCCATGCAAAGCTGGATGCAGACGCGGACTGCGCCGCCTGGCCCGCGAGCCAGCTTTGCTCAACGGGAAATAAGAGGGGGGTCAGACAGGGGCAAGTCCACGGTTGACGGCTTTGCTCTCGTAGTCTTGGTCGTTTTCTTTCGCTTGCCCCGGACCATTTTCTTCCACTGCTTTGGTCAATATTATAATATGTCTTCGCGCTCTTGGACAAGCTCTTTCCAATCTGACTCAGACTGAAGACGGTTGCGGCCCTCACTTGAGGGCTTCCACGCGCGCATTGAACTTTCAAGCTGGACTAAGAAAACGACTGTCCTGTGGTCTGCCATGTTCATATGGTCTGCCGTGCTGGTGTAGTCTGCCTTGCTGTTCTGCCGTGCTGCTGTGGTCCCCCTGTGCTAATCTGCCGCGCTCATGCGGTCTACCGTGCTGGTCTGCCCTACTGCTGTGGTCAGCCGTGCTGGTCTGCCGTGCTGTTGTGATCTGCCGCGCTGGTCTGGCATGCTTCTGCTGCGGTTTGCCGCGCTAAATTGCCGTGCTGTTGCGGTCTGCCGCGCTGGTATGCTATGCTGCTGTGGTCAGCCGTGCTGGTCATCCGTGCTCCTGTAGTCTGCCGTGCTCCTGTGGTCCGCCGTGCTCTCATGATCTGCAGCACTGTTATGGTCTGCCGTGATGGTCAGCCGTGCTGCTGTGGTGTTAGTTTGGCGCGATGCTGTGGTATGCCGCGTTAGTCACGCCGTGCTCATATGTTCTGCCATGCTGGTCTGCTGCGTTGCTGGGGCCAGCCGCGATGGTTTGCCGTGATCCTGTGGTCTGCCGCGTTGTGAAAGTGAACGTGAAAGTCGGGGCCGAAAGGCTCAAGATTCCTCCACCACTACACACGGGGAGGCCACCGCAGCCAGGGGACCGCGGAGGCGGGCCAGCCGAACGCACGACTTGGGCCCCGCACACTCCACGCCGAGCCCCCCCCCTTCCGAAGAGCTCCTCGAAGACCCCTCGGACCCGAGTTGAACTCAACGGGAAATCAAAAAATCAGGCGAGCCTCAAACGCGCACACTGTCAGAGACAGGAGGCCTGGCTGGAGCATGGTCCGCCGTGCTAACATGCAATACTCGTGCTGCCGACCGTTCTGGCATGCCGTGCTGCTGTTCGTCGGCCGTGCCGGTCGGCCGCTCCTGCTGTGGCCTGCCGTGCCGGTCTGCCGTGCTGCTGCGGTCTGCCGTGCTGGTCTGCCGTGCTCCTGTGGTCTGGCCCGTGCTACTGTGGTATGCCATGCTAAAGGGCAGTTTTTGTTACTACATTGGATTCTGAGAAAATGTAAGATTTCTAGTACATGCTTAATGTATTGATATATTTATGCATGAGCGCCTCGTTGTTTTTACTACTAAACCCCGGCATGTTGAATGCATGATCCGCGCGCGGAGCATGCCTAAAAAACGGCACTGCCGTCTGTCGTGCGTATGTGGTCTGCCGCGCTCGTTCGCCGTGGCGCCGTGATCTGCCGCGTGGGTCTGCCATGCTCCCGTGGTCCGATGGTCTGGCCAGGTGGGGCCTTGAAGGCAAAAGGAGAAGGGGGCAGAGCGTGAGCTCTTCCACCAGGCCGAGGGGAGGCGGGAGAGGGGCAGTCGCCGTCGGGCTTCGCCCACAAGGCCGATGCCCGATCCATCCCGATGCCCCGTCAAGCCCACGCGCTCCAGCTCAACCGCGGAGGGGCACTCTGAGCGACGCTAGGGCGGCCAGCCCAGAGGTCTCGCGATCGGGGCCCCACGAGAGCATGCAGATCCAGGAGGCCTCAACAACAAGCAATACAGCAAACAAAACTGCACGGACACGAACGAGGCACGCCGCTGGACCGACCAGGAGCACACGCGGCGCGGTGCTCAAGACACGGCACGCATGGCACAACACTCCCGGCACAGAACCTTCGGCATGGCACTGCTGGCACGGCTCGCACCGCACGGAGCGCACGGAGCGGCAGGGCTTTTACACTCACCCCAGGATCCCACATGCGCATGGGATTGCCAGCAGCCCAACTCATCATGCATGATGACTTCATATTATGACTACGGCTCGGCCGCGAATATTCAGGGGGACTCAAGAGAGGTGCCCAGTTCATCAGGTGGGCTCTGAAATCCTATGCAGTAGGCCGTCCCCTAGGCATGCGAGGTTCGCATCCACCCCCCACCCACCCCACCCCCCAAAAAAAGAAACAAGCCGATCTGGTGCACGGAAAAGATGCGACCTCTGAACCGAAGATCTATATACCTGACGAGCGGGGGCGGGGACTCAATCTTGAAAGAGACATGCATGACGTCACATAGAGCATCTGGACCTCTGCCGTCGAAAGGACGTGCCGTCGCGCTACAAACCCAGCTGATATTTCCCATCGTTTAGCTCTGGCTCAGCAAACAAGGGAATACACAGCTGAACTAGCCTTCCAGCCATGGGATGATGCGTAGTGGACGCCCATATTGCTGCAAGGGTTTCATCAGTTACCCCTTCCACCCTCGCCGCGCTGCGAGGTCGAGAGGACCGCACCAGCGTGGGCCAGTCATTGACTGGGCGAACGTACTAACAGGGCAGGCTAGCTGATTGGCAAGAAAGTGGCAGCCCCCTGCTCTTCACATCACAGGATGGCCCGGGCGCCATGTTTGTGTCATTGACCTGCGCCTTGCCCATCTGCACGATCGCCTTTGCGTAGGCTGCCTTTGCCTCTTGCAGGTACTGTTTCCTGCCCGACCCTACTTCCAGAGCAAGGTAGGAAAAGGTGGCGAGAAGACCATCGAAGGAATGGAAAAAGAATAGCAGCAGCTTGGGATTCGCCGAGATCGCAGGCTAGACACGTTTACCCGTGGGCGCACTCACTCTGGATATTTCGACATTGAACTAAACAGAGCACCGAGAACGCCAGAACTAAACAGAGCGCCAGCCGATTCCTAAACGACATTGAACTAAACAGAGCGCCAGCCGATTCCTGTGGAACGCAATCGCAACAGATGCCTGGGATCCTCCCCGAAAGGGATAGCGGTTCTGCAGGAGGGTGAGGAGAGAAGAAGGCACCAGCCTTATCCGAGCAGGGCCACGAAAACGTACCCGCACCGTGCCACGCAGTGACCGTGAGCGAAAAGGAAGACGATGCAAACACGGCCAGCTCGGAGTCGAACAGCTGGTCCCGACGAGCCCGGATTCCCAGCGAGGGCAAGGATAACTAAGACTGGCGAAGGCATCTGGATAACAAGACTAATATGGATAACAATGATAACTAAGACTAACAAGGATAACTAAGACAAGGATAACTAAGACTAACAAGGATTTCAACATGGATAGCACGGTACGGCGATGGAAAACATGAGCCACCAAAGTTTTTTTTGCTGACCCCCACGCACGGTTCCAGAGTGGTACTTACGCGGCGCGGAGACAGCCTGGGTGAATCAGCGCTGGGGTATCTCCAAATATCCTGGACATGCAAATGGCATCGGAAGTCATTAGTTTGGACGAGATCGCTTAAATTGGATCTGGGGTTGAGATTGGCTGATGAGGACAGAACCGGTTTCCTGGAACAAATAATGGTCGGGCTTGGGTTCGGGCGGGGGACAGAAGTTCGAGTTCGGAGACCAAGGAAAGCAAGAGTTCGAAACAAGTTCAAAAGTCAGGGAGGTATCGAAAGTATTCAATGTGTAAGCAGTATTTGGAATAAACAAGAAAAGATAAATTTGATGAACTTGAACTAAATTACAAAATTCGGAAAAGTTCTGGGAAAAGTTACGCAAGCCAATTAAACAAACCAATTCGGGAGTCCATGCAAGGTTCATACGCGCTCCTGAGATTTGGAACTTCTTCGCCGCCGAACTTTATCTGAACATTTTCCGAACTTCAGGGATCCAACAACTTTGAACTTAGACGGTGCAAAACTATTGGCCTCGAACTCTTTCCCGACTTCGATTATCTTTACATAGGGCCCGTTTGGACCCACTCAGCCAATTACAAGTCTGAGGGAACCGACGCGCTGTGGGGAAACAACAACTTTCGATTTCGCGGAGGGATATAGTTAGGATGCAGCCACGATCTATGTACGAGGTAGGCAGGGAGGTTCTTCCGATCATCCTTCCGAACGCTGAAACGAAGGCATTGCACTGCAGACACCCGTGGTGCAGCAAAAGAAACTTTCGAAAATTCGCGAGCTCTTGGTCGGGTTCCGCCGTCGTCGTCCGTCAGCCCCCCAAAACAGGAGGACCAGCGCACTGGCTTCTTCGAGGCACCAGCACGGAAGACATCAAACGCCGACTCGATGCCACTGGCGCAACACTATCGGAGGAAGAATGTCGAAAGGACTGCTTCGCGACGCTCGATCCCATCTGGGGGGGTTCAAAAGACCGAAGAGGCTACACGAGCGAACGAACGCGCGGAGCGTCCCTGGGAAGGCACGGGCCGACTGGCGGCTTGAGCGGAGCAACCGTGGCCGCTCACAGGATCAGCCTTTGCACTTGCATTGCGCTGTAATCCAGAAGCGGGAACACATCCTCTTGTTAAGTCCCACCGTTCGTTGTCCATCGCTCTCGTAAGCTATCTAATGTCGCTGATGTCGTACTTTTCCGGGGAGGGAGAAAGATGAGGAGGAGGAGGAGGAGGAGGAGGGGGAGATGTAGGAAGAGGAGGCAGAAGAGGTTACGGCCAAGATTTACGCCCGACCTGTCATGGCCCTCACCCCGTCCTCCTCCCCCTCCCCCTCCTCATCATCCTCCCCACTTTCTCCTCTTCCTCCCTATCTTCCTCCACTTCCCCCTCCTCCTCCTCCTGATCCTCCTCCTCCTCCCTCCTCCTCCGTCCTCCTCCTCCTCCTCCTCCTCCTCCTCCTCCTCCTCCTCCTCCTCCTCCTCCTCCTCCTCCTCCTCCTCCTCTTTCCTCCCTTCCTCCTCCTCCTCCTCCTCCTCCTCCTCTTTCCTCCCTTCCTCCTCCTGGCACCGCGTGGGCCTCCTGGGGCGCCCACGTCGCCACGGCTGGCTCCGCCCCGGAGCCCCCGCGGGCGCGCCGGCACCCGAGGCCAGGCCTGGCCGCCTGCACTCGGCGAGCGCTCCGGCCCCCCGCGGCCTGGCCAGGGCGCGGCGGTGCACACCGAGCGGGAGAAGCGAGCGGGCGCCGCAGGACACACCCGTGCTGTGCGCCCTGCTCGGAGGCGCAAGTCCGAGCCGAACACATCTTTTATCTGCGGGGCGAGAGCGAGCCTCTTCCGCTAAAAGCTAGGCGGGCTACGCACAGCTTTCGTTAGGGAGACAGGGCACAGGAAGGCGGGGCCTCAGGCAGCCGGAGCGGGCGGGGCCCAACCCCCGAACCGAACACATACGGTAGAGGGAAACACTTAGTGAACACCCCCCCGGCCCCCCAAACTCAAGGCTGGCGCTCGCGGGGGAGGCTGCGGTCGAGGTGCAACTCATCAGACCCGCCGCCAGCTTTGAACATCGGGGGGAGGGGGAGGCGTCCACAGATGAATGTGGCATGAGTGTTCGCTATTTTTGTCCGAGGCCTGTAGTACAAACATATCATGGTAGATCGTTTCCCGAGCGGTGTGGCCAGAAAGCGCCCGCCTCGGAGCAGGTGCTGTAAGACTTCTGTTCGCGCGCATCGCCCCTCTGGGGGGCGACGGGCGGCGCACATAGAGTACCAGCATGTTTGGGTGACGCCGAATCGATCGGGCGCAGCTGAATGGGAGGGCGATAAAAGGGGGGGGCGGGAAGGGGGGGGGGGGGGGGAAAACGCCCACCTCACGTACCCCTTTTGGGCCCGAGGCGGGCCCTTCGGGGCCCATTTCGGGCACGAAAGGTGCACCTCTTCCTCGCTCCCCCATGTACCACTCGCTCACTCAAGAGCCGCGCCTGGACGGCGCATCGGCGAAAGAAACTACATGTACACGTCTGTAGGCTGCTACTGCGCCTCGGAGCTCGATCACGGGCAGGCTTTGTGCAAACGGCGCGCGAGGGTGAGCAGCGACGCTCACGTGCGGGAGGGGGCATGCAGGAGGTAGGGATGAAGGGAGAGTGAGGAAGGGGGACGGGGAGGCGGGAGAGGGGGGAACACACAATAAGATCACACTAAAGAGATACAACAATCATTGATCCTCATGTATCGCCACCCCACTATCGCCCCCCACCATGACTCACCATCGCTCGGACGTCTATTCAGCGTGTTTTCTCTGGCTTCGGAAGATGACCCAAAGTGCTCCTCGATATTGGCGGCGCGCACAAGGGAGTAGGGTGAGGGGGGAGGGCTTCTGAAAACGAGGCTGCTTCTTAGAAGGCGCTGGCCTGTCCGACAATTGCGTCGGAAACTTACCCCAAACGATGCGAAAAAGTAGGGCGGAACTCTCAGGCTCTGAAAGATACATAGGGCGGATATCTCTGCAAAGGTATAGCGGAAACAACAACAACCAACTATAACGGACATCAGCATCAAAGCAGTTTGGCCTACCCACGAAATCGCCCAAAATACGGCAGATCCAGTCAGGGTCCGCTCCGCAGCAGTCGAGGGGCCCTCTAGTGCCGTCTTGGGTCACCCCAGAAGCCCTCTTGGGCAGGTTGGGGCCCTGCATCAGTGCGTTGTGCTGGACTCACTCTGGCCCTGCTCCCTTCCCTCCAAGGGCTCCCAACTTCGCGCTTCGCGCTGCGCGCAGCGCGAAGTGCGAATCACTTCGCGCTCTCGCGCCGCCTCCCGGGGGAGAAGAGGAGGATGAGGAGGAAATCGGAGCCGAACCGCGAAGCGCGAAGCGCGAATGACTTCGCGCCCTCGAGGGCGCCCTCTTGCCCCTCGCAGAGTCGGGACGGGAGGGCGAATGCGGGCATCAGTGATGCGTGCCGGCGCCCGCTCGGGCCCTGCCTCCTCGCCGCGCGGCGGGGCCGACACCCTGCAGCCCCGGGGCCCATGAACCGCCCAGACGCTGCACGCCCGAGCCCAGAGCAGGGCGAGTCGAGGCAGCGGCGGCTCAGAGTCGGTAACCCGGAGCCCTCCTGGTGGGCCCAGGCGCGCGAGCTCCTCGAGCTGCGCCCGGCCGCGGCGGCGAGGCGGCCCTCCGAGGGCCAAGCGCCGCTATCTGACCTCGCCCTCCTCCGAGGAGCCCGGCGCCTCGCGCGCTCTGCGCCGCCGGAGGGCGCGACGAGCGGTGGTCCGCGCGCTCGCGCGCGGCCCCCCTGCAGAAGAGGGAGCAGCTGCCCGGCCCCGGCCGCGACGCACGGGGCACGGGCTATCTTCGCGCCCCCCCAGCAGGCTGAGCTGCGCTGGCTGCTGCTCATCCCCGTCGTCTGCTGCAGCGGGCTCGCGTCGTGACGACTCGCGCGCTGGCTTCCGACACGGCACAGCTTTCCGACAGCGCCAGTCGTTCGGTGCTGGCCGATTCTGGGTCAATGGCGGCGTCCAACCAGGAGCGCCCGCTCTGGAGTCGCCGCAACGTCGATACGACACGAAGCTACCGTATATGTGTATCCAGTCGTAGCACACCCCGGGCCACCCTGCAGTGGTGCGCTTGAGGAGCCGCGCCTTCCGGAAGGCTGCGTTGCCCTGCTCCCTGAGCTCGTCGGCTGTCGACGAGCACTGATGGTCACCTCTCCGCTGTACTTTGCACAGCTACCCTGCCTTCTCGGGCGACTTACTCTAGATGACGTCGGCGTTGGCTTCTAACGCAGCCTGGGTCGTTCAACCTTGAACGATTGAGGTTTTCCGATAGCGCGGACTACTCGATGTCGGCCAGTTGCGGCCAGTGGCGGCGTTTAACCTTGAACGCCGCGCTGGGGTCGCCGCCGCGTCGACACGAAACGAACATACCATAAGCACAGGATGCACGTGGAAGTAAAAGGGATCGTATGACACTCCGGGTTCCGCTCCGCGAAAATGGCGGATGTCGGACCCATTCCAAGAAAAATCCAGGTCATCTCACATAACTCCAGCACCCACCCCTCAAGAGTATGACGAGCCGGGCTCCCCAACCAGAGGAGGCCACACAGAGCCCAACAGGCTACACGGCAGGTAGGTGTGGAGGGGGGGACAGACAAAGAGGAGCAAGAGCAGGAGCAGCGAAAAAATACGACGGAGGGCAAAAACAAGGAGCGGCAGGAGGAGGAGGAGGAGGAAGAGGAGGAGAAGCAGCAGCAGCAGCAGCAGAGAGGGGAAGAGAGGGCGGGGTGGCAGAAGGGGGAGAGGGAGGCAGCGGGAAAAATATAGAGAGAGATAGAGCAACAAAAAGAAGGAGACAAATAGAGAGAGAGAGAGAGAGAAAAAAAAAAAAAAAAAAAAAAAAAAAAAAAAAAAAAAAAAAAAAAAAAAAAAAAAAAAAAAAAAAAAAAAAAAAAAAAAAAAAAACGACAACAACAAAAAACACGCACTAAAAAACGAAGAAACATCAAAGGAGAGAGAAAGAGAGACAGAGAAAACAAAGAAAAAACTGCTAACGAGGAAGATGAGCAAAGGCACAGGAAGGCGGGGTGGTGAAGGAGAGGAAGACGAATGAGGCGGAGGACGAAAGAAGTGCGACAGGGAGGAGAAGGGGGAGGAGGAGGAGAAGGACGAGAAGGAGGAAGGAGGATGAGGAAGAGGAGGAGGAGGAGAAAGAGGAGGAGCGGGAGGACGTGAAGGAGGAGGAGGAGGAGGAGGAGCAGAAGAAGGAGGGGGAGGAGGAGGAGGAGGAGGAGGAGGAGGAGGAGGAGGAGGAGGAGGAGGAGGAGGAGGAGGAGGAGGAAGGAGGAGGAGGAGGAGGAGGAGGAGGAGGAGGAGGAGGAGGAGGAGGAGGAGGAGGAGGAGGAGGAGAGAGGAGGAGGAGGAGGACGAGGGAGGAGGAGGAGGAGGAGGACGACGACGAGAAGGAGGACGAAGAGGAGGAGGAGAGGAGGAGGAGGAGGAGGAGGGGGAGGGGGGGAGAAACGGGAGGAGGAGGAGGAGGAGGAGGAGGAGGAGGAGGAGGAGGGAAGTGGAGGAGGCGGAGGATGAGGAGGAGGAAAGGGAGATAATGAGATGAGGGAGGAGGAGGAGGAGGAAACTGGAGGAGGCGGAGGAGGAAAGCGCTCGCACGCTTCAAGAATCTGTCGGCAGGAGCGGCGGCGCGCGGCAGCTCGGCCGATTTGCGGTGCTCGCTGAGGCGTCGATGGAACGCCCTGTGAAGGGCAAGTGTGGAAGTAGGGGTCGTCGTAGCCGTTGTCGAAAGTTCCACCTCAAATAAAAGGTAACAGAGAAGGACGAGGTTGCGCACCGCGGTCTGGCGCCTCCTCCAGAAATTCTGCCGGAGCGCCGAACCCGACGCGATATTGAACTTCTCGGTGTGCAGACTTTGGCGGCTCTGTGACCCAGTGAAAGGCGCGACGGTATTTGAGGTTACGGCTGATACCGTCGAGGCCGTCGTCGCAGCCGGAGAGGCAGGTGCGACGCGTAGGCAAGTGTGGTGGTGGGGGGAGGAGGAGGAGGAGGAGGAGGAGGAGGAGGAGGAGGAGGAGGAGGAGGAAGAGGAGGAGGCAGGGCACGGCAGCATGGGGTCCGCAAGTCGAACCCGCTGAGTTCCTGACAAGCCCGCGGCTCTGGGGCGGCGGCTGAACGCGCCGCTCGTCGAGGAACGACGCGCACTCAGGCAACGAACGCCCGCTGCCCACCGACGACAGTCGGGCAGGCGCCGTAAGTAGGGCGGAAGAACGACCCGCCCCCGCCTTCGGCAGAGTTGGCTGGAACCGCCCGCGAGAGGGAAGGCGGCGGCCTGCTGGGAATTCGGATGCAAGCACGGTCAGAGAGAAGACAAGCGAGGACAGGAGGACCCAGAAAAGCATGTTCCGGCAGAGCGTCTCCGGAACATGCCAGAAAGGTCCAGAAGAGGAAGAGCGAGAAAGAGGAAGAGGAGGAGGAGGAGGAGGAGGAGGAGGAGGAGGAGGAGGGGGAGGAGGGCGCCGCTGGCCGCGGAGCAGGCGCAGCCACGGTTCCGAGGCGGCGCGATTGATGCGGAGCTCGAGGGCCACATCTGCGCGCGCGGGGGCAAGATTCGGAGGCGGCCTCAGATCGGGCCGATCACCATGAATATGAACGCGACACGACAGCCCACCGTGGATATGTAATCGGCGTTCCGTCGACAGCGCGTCGAACAGCTCACCTGGAACGTGGATGCCACCTCCCGCCGCTGGCCGCCTCCGCGCCCCAGCCAAGCCCGCACCTCCAGCACAGGACCGCCCAGCCCCCATTAGACGCGCCCCCACCCGCAGCCGCCAATGCCACCCGCCAAGGCCTCCCCGGCCTCCTGAGCGTCCAGCTGGAACACCGAAGGCGTCTTCTGCTTGCCCCAGCAACCCCCGCCGCCGAAGACGAAACCATATCCGCAAGATAGCCTTGCAACGCCACGAGCACGTCCTTCGTCTTCTGCGTGCACTGCGGGCTCAGCGGCATCGCGATCGAGGCGCGCAGCACGGCCTCGGCCGCGACCGGACTTGGCGCACCGAGCCCGTGCACCGCAGGTTTCATGCCCTTGGCCACCCCAGTACACTGCCTGCCGGCCTCGCGCCCCACATTCACCAGCGAGCGCTGCGTCTCCGCGCGGAAGGCGCGGTACTCCGCCGCCCTCAGGTCCCGGGTCGAGATGTCGCGGGAGCAAACCAGGCGCGCAATCGTATCCACCGCGCCCTCCAAGTCGATAAGCGCCTCCCCCCGGCCTGCCGGCTGCCGCCCGCGCCGAACTCCCCCGCCACCGCGCGCCCGGTCGGCGCCCGCCTCGCCTTCCTCGCCCGCCCCGCCCATGCCCCGGCGCGCAAAAGCCCCCGACGCGGCGAGGCGGCGACGGCCAGGGCGCGACCGCAGCTGGAGCTCTGGCGCTTGAGGCACGCCGCCCGCTGCAGCGTCCAGCGCTGCCATCCACCCGGGGCGCTCGGCCATCCTCGCAGACGAGAGGGCGGTAAAGTACTTGCACGGAGATGTCGCTCAGATGGGAACCGATGAAGTGGCTATAGTGGGCTTCCAACGTCAACGAAACGACGCAGCAATGGCAAGTGACGGGAGCAGCGGCAGCGAGAGCGGGGCGACGCTGGACGCGCCCCTCCAACAATAGCCCTGCTCCGAGGCAGCCGCGACGCGCCCCCTCGCCACCTCCCGAGTTGCGAACACAATCCGGCAGAAAGCGCACTGGTTGGTCGGGGTCAAGCTGCCGACTGTCGAACAGCACTTGCGGCGAAGTGTCCGGCGATCCCGCAGAGCCTTGGCCGCGGCAAATGCCGCACCGCAGACGCGACCATCCACTGCCATCTCCTGGCTGGCGAAGGGCAGGTCCAGCCCTTCCTCTGGCTGCGGCACGGGCCGGTCAGGAAAGTAGCGGAGCTCGCGAAAGGTCCACCAGCCGATTGCACCCTCAGGAACCGCGCGCGTCGGCGCACACCGAGTGCCTCACGATGCTAACCTCGAGAGCTGCGCGCCCATGCCCACGACGTCGCAGCCGAGGTCGGCGCCCGTCCAGAGCCCGAGGATCCTGCGGGCGAACGCCGCCGCAAGGTCAAGGCGCTCGGCCGCGGCGCAGAGCGCCACAACGCCCGCCACCGTTGCGCGCGCCAGCGGCGGCGCCGAGGAGGTCAGCGCGCCCGTCTCCGACAGGACCCCCCCCTCCGCCTACGTGAACTCGCCGAAGAGCGCCGCGATCACCACATCGTGGGGCGCGGGAAAGAGGACCGTGCGACGCAACAGCGAGAGGCGCAGAATGCGTAATTCCACGGCCATCGGCGCGACCTGAAAGTCTCGCCGCGCGACCCCATTCGGGAACGATCGGCGCCGCGCATCCCCCCCCGTCGGAGTCACGCGCCCGACGCGCGAGCCCAGGGCGGAGCACCCCAGTCGCATCGCCGCGGCCGTCAGGCGCGATAGAACCACCGCAGATGGCACGTAAGTCCCACCAGCCGCCAGCAGCGCCCCCATCACCTTGCAGCGGGAGAAACTGCGCAGATGCGAGATCGACATGACTGCCTGCCAGAAGCCCATCTCGGCAAAGGCTGCCTCCACCGCCCGGACACGAGCGGCCGCCTCGGGGAAGTGAGCGCCTCGATGGTGCAGCTGAGCGCCGAGGTGCCGCGCCGCGGGAACCCGCTGCCTGCGAACGACACGGCGCCCGAAGAGGCGGCGCAAGTTCGCGGTGGATCCCTGGCCGCGAAGCGAGAGCAAGGTCATCTGCTTGCCGAGGTTATGCGAGGAGCTGCGGCGCCCGCGAACCGCGTCGAGGCGCTCGTCCGAAGCGCGCGCGCTGGCGATCACATGCCCAGCGCTCATGCTGGCGAATCGCTTGGCTAAATCGTCCGCGAACCTCAGCAAGCGCAGGTCGACGCGCGCCCCCGTCACGGGGCGGGGCGCCACCCGGCGCGTCGCTCTCCGGCAGGAGCGAATCATGGCCCACACACTCGTCAACCAGAGGCCGGAAGCCTTCTATGAACCCTGCGGGCCCGATGGTCCACCAAACCTGTCAAGACCCCATCGGCCGTGGGCAAGGAGAAATAGCACTCTTGGTGCTGGCGCTAGACAAAGCCCACGTCTTCAGGGCACTAGAGGTGCTCCGCCGCCGCGTCCAGGGCCTTCTGCGACGTGCACTGGAACGCCTTCGAGAGGTCCTCGAAGCAGCTGAAAGCGGAGAAACAGGCCAGGTCTTGGCGCCATTGTATCGCGTGCATCACCGCCAAGGCGGCCTCGCTGGACCTCCTGCGCAAGAAACCACGCTCGCCTGCAGGTTGGCAGAGACGCCCGGGCCACGTCGCAGCAGCGATCCGAAGTGGCACTTGCCGACGGGGCACACGACATCGATTACGCGCCAGACCTCCACCACCGGGCTGCGCGACCAGACCGGGGTGGGCGCCGCAAAAAACCACGCGAATGCCAGAACGGCCTCCGGAGCCTCGCGGAAACGCGGGGCTGCATGTGCTTCGCGCCGACTCCGACGCCGCCCTTCGGCTGCTGCCTAGGCGCCAAGAGCACGCGCCAGGCGGCCACCTGGACCGACCACGAAGGAGAGGCTCGCCGCAGCGGCGCACGCAGCAGGGCCGCCCCCAGCCGCGCCATGTCCTTGACAGCCAGCGCCTCCGCCTCGCCCCAGGGGATCACCGGCACAATCGGAGCAGGGCGGACGTCTTCCGCTATGTCGTCGCCGGGACGGACCGCGCTGTAGCCACCATTCTTGCCCTCGGCGGCCACCTGGGCGAAACGGTCCTCCAGCGGGCGGAGCTCCTTCGGCGCGTCGTAGCGTGGCCCTGGTGCCACTCGGCCCCGTTCCGCCAGGAGGTGATACAACCTTCAAACCTGAAGCCAATCACCCGCGCGTTCGGCCTCGGCCAAGTCGCCAATGCGCTGCGCCTGGAGCCAGAGACGGCGGCGGCGTCGGCTCTGCTTGCACTGCGCGGTCAAGGACTTCAGCGACCCCCCCACGCGGTCAAACTCCCCCAGGGCCGAGTCGTCGACCCTGCGCCGGGCCCGGCGCGCGTCACGCCGCAAGGCAGCGCGCCTCGCAAGCAGGCGCCGCCTCTCCGCCTCGCCCCGGCGAGCAGACGCAGGCATGACACGCTCCTGCACGAAGAGGTTGCGCCGCAACCTCCACCGCCTTCCGAATGCAGGTCCAAAGGCGGTCGAGCGGCCCCTCATCCACCAGCACGTGCAACCCGTCGAGGTTCGCCTCGACGGCCTCCACAGAGTCCCCGTGGCAAACGCCCCGCAGCCAGCCCACCGCAGTGAGGTCGGCGCCGCATCGAACACACGCCTCCGCCGCTGCCGGCCGCATGGGCGCCCGCTGCAAGAAGAAGGAAACCAGGGCGGGCGCGTGGTCCAGACGCTGCGCCGCACCAATGAACTGAAGTAGGCCCCCCGCGGAGCACATGGCGCCGCACCACCAAACAATAGGTTCCAGCTCCCGAAACAGTAGCAACACGTCAGGCCTAGACGGATGCATGCACATGCGGACCAGCGAATGTCCTCCCAGGCCAGAGCGTGTTCTCTGCGCGCAGGCCGTGCCTCAACGCGGCGGCCTACAGCGCTGCGCCCGCCTCGTGCTCGGCAAACCGCTCGCCGCCGACAGATTGTCCAAGCAGGTACCCAAACCGTCGCCCAGGTCGATCGTCAGCAGTGGCGCGCAGCGCGCGGCCAGCCCGTAGAGCACCTCGCCCGCCCACGAGAAAAGCGCCACCACCGTCGACGAATAGGCAGGAACCGGCAACGCGCGACACACGCGCGGGGAGGTACAGGGCCACGACCAAGACATCGAAGGAGCCCTGCTTGAAGCGAGCGGCCCCGGCACGGCCCCGGAGCCCCGGCGGCGGGGAGACTTTCGTGACAACGTCCACATCGTCCGCAGATCAGAAAGCGCCACAGCAGCCTTCCACGCCGTCACCGCCGCCATGCGGGGGCGGGCGGGCATCGAGGCGAACCTGGGCAAGCGCCGCAAGTGGAACCGTGGCGGCCTCGAAACGGCAAGACACCTAGCGCTGGGCACAGACGTCTGGGTGGGAGGCGTCAACACGCCAGAGAAGCGCCGCAGCCTCAAGGTGCTCGGCACGCTGCTGGGCATAGGTGCGCTTGTAGTCAGGCTGACCGAGGAGCGTACAGAAGAGGAACGCCGATCATTACAGGAACTCCCCTGCCTGCCAGACCTTCCGCACGCCTGGGCACTCCTGCTGTATTGCGCGGTGCCGAGGTGCAACCACGCACTGCGCGCGCCGCCTCCGACGTCGTCGCGACCCTACGCCGAGGCCCACGACAGCACGCTGCAGGAGACGCTCCACAGACTCCTCGACCTCGCCCCCGAGCCAGCAGACGCCGGCCTCCAGCTTGACGGCGGCAAAGAGAGAGGCAATGGACGCGGCAGACGCGGCCTCGCCAGACCCGCGTGCCGACCCTCCAGCGGGCGCCAGCGCGCATGCGAGGGCCGTTCCGCAACGCGCTGCGCAAAGCCCTAGGGCTGATCCGCGAGGGAGAGGCAGACGAAGCAGGAGCAGTGCGCTGCTCCCCTTTTCTGCCACCTCTTCTACGGTGAGCGATCGACCAGGCAGCGGGAGGAGAACATGGAGACCCGCCCATGCCAGCCCTTATCGCCTTGGGACAACGACGCCCCGCCAGAAGCCCAGGGCCTGGTCGTACCGGGGGCCCCGTCGGCCACAGGGCGTTCGTCGCGCAGCACCTCGATGGCAGCCTGGCAGAACACTGCCGTTTGCTGGGGAGGATAATGCACCTCGGGGATCTGCACAATCCTCGTGGCTCCTGCTGGGCCTGTGCGCCCACCTCTGGGCCAACTTCTTCCTGAGGCCGCTGGCCCCCGAGGACACGACCGCTTTCGCCGCAGCCCACGACGACTATACCTGACCAACGCGCTCGCCGACCTGCTGGAAATCACACGGGTGACCCTCACCGAACGCACGCCAGCCTGCCAGCGGTGCCAACTACCGCTATGCATGGAAGGGCTCGGCTTTAGGAGCGCGGTCAGGACGGCGCTGGCAGACTGCTCACCGATGCTCCACGAGCGCTGTTTCCAGCTGACAGACCAGATCTGCAGGGCGCTGAGCGGGCTGGACCGAGCCCCGCGACCGGCCACTCCCGGGAACCTGCAGCAAGTCAGCAGGGCGAGGCAGCACCTCGTATCGCACACCTTCGCCGCGCTGGGCTGGCATGACCTCGCGCGCGGCGCCCGGCCGCCGCCGACGCACGAGCGGACTGTTGGGCGCACGGCTGGCAGTTCTGGTCTGCCAGAGTCCTCGGGGGCGCAGCCCGACCGCAGCGTCTAGTCGCTGTCGATCCAGACGCCCGCGCCCTCCTCAGGTCCTGGCGGGGTCGAACAGCATCCTGTCGGATGCGCCCGCCTGCCGTTGCCCACGCGGAGAGATTTCAAGATCACGCCCGCACAATTCTGAGTCCTGCTTCTCGGGCGCGGGCGGCTTGATTTACCCTTCGCAGCGAGCGCGCGCAGAGGTAGAGACAGACTGGGTGCAACAGGCGACCACAGAAAAGCATGCCCAAGGGCTGGCGGGGTTCTGAAGGCGAGGTCCATTCCTCTGGCAGCCGCGCGCATCTGCCGGGAGGCTGGGGGCAGAGTCGCAGGGAACCAGCTCCTGCGAGATCTAATCGTGGACGGCCCCGGCCTCCGCGACGGGCGAAAGGTCGAGGTTATCGCTAATGGCCTGCCACTGCGGGGCGGAGCTAGGCTGGCGATCGACGCGACCCTGGCGTCACCGCTGGACCGACCTGGCCGCGGTCGCAGCCCAGAGAGCCTCCTGGCGGGCGCGCGCTCCACGGAGACACCAGAGCCTAACCGCTCGCCACTGTGCCTTTGATGGGGTGGGACGGGCGCGGCCCCACCCGGTGGACCCTCCAGCTGGCGCAACGGGGGC